CATCCACAACCTTTTGCTGTTCATCTGTCATACTTGCTTTTTTGCGCTTGAAGAAATTTTGGCAAAACTTTAAGTCCTTGTCTGTATTGCTCAGGCTGCTGTTGAAACATGCTTCGAGACTTGTTTTTTGCATTTGTCGCAAGTCATCTTGACGGTTTTCAAGTATAGTAAGCAAACGTGCGAAATCAATGTCCTCCGCCTCACTGCAAAGCCTTCGTTCCCAATCCATTAGAGTCGCTTTTTGGTCAGCCGTTACTTGCTTCTCAATCTTATTGTAAATTCTGTAATACTTGGCTCGCTCTGCATTTGCTTCGTATCCTCTGGTGCCTGTCCCTGTCCGCAAGCATGCTTTCAAATCCGTGGCGCGCAAACCCTTCAACACAAGCTCTTCTTTCTGCAAGAAACAAAGAAGGTCTTCGAACAGCGACGATTCCATGGCGCTAGCCTACGCGGACCACAGCGTCGCACGTACCCACGCTTCCGCGGACCAGAACGTCGCACGCACGCGTTGCGAGTCTACGCAGTTGCAAGGTTGTATCGTGTACATGCGTAATGTTTGTTGACATCGTAATGTTTTCTCACCGAATCGATGTAATCACTCAACAATACTTATGAAAATTATTTTTCCACCTATATCCAACGTGCTGCTACACATATGTTAGCCAACGCGGACCGTAACGTCGCACGTCGGGTGTCCCTTGCAAACTCCATGATGCATGCGTTAAAAAAAACATGTGATGATTCAAAACATGACATAATATGATTTAAGTCTTGCTGATAGATTTGATCACATATGCATGACCGACACAAACGGCAGCGGCAACGTTGCAGAGCTGAAACTACACAACCGCTACCAGACAACATCATAGGGTGAATATAACAGATCGAAATTCGAAATTCCCCATAGTCGAAGTAAAGAAACAATTACACGTACCAACTAGGGTCCAAGAAATACGAAACGGACTTCCTCATCCAAATTGTAGATCCCCAACCAACCATCTCACTCAACAGAGGTCAAATAAACACGAAACATACCATCTCACCCAGCTTGAGGTCTGATGTCTGAAAAAGGAAATGGTCCAGAAAATCATACTTTCAACAAACTACAAAAATCCAACCCATGCTGCAAAAAGCATTGAGCGGATCTTAGTGAGACCATGCATTTACCCGCTCCCACGACAGCATGTTTTTTTCACATGTATGCAATACGATCATGGTTTTTTGTGCGGTTCGTAACAACGCACACAGTCCACACTTCACAGTCCACACTTCACACTTCTCACTGCTTCCTTCACACTCCAAACCTCACACTTCACACTTCACACTTCACACTGCGCTCTTCGCACTCCAACCTTAAACTTCACACTCCACACTTCACACTTCTCACTTCCCACTGCTTCCTTCACACTGCACACTTCACACTGCACTCTTCACGCCCCACACTTCACACTGCTCTAAACCTACGTGCAACAAAAAAACACTAGCGCCAAAATGGAGAAAATCTGCTAACAAATCCATGTCGCAGCCTTCATGCAGCCACTCCAATACGATTTACGAGATCCAGCTGGAAAAGACAATGGTATTACGCATGCAGCCACAGCACGAAGCAACCTTGACGCAGCCATTACAAGGCGATCTGCAGAGACTGAGTTGCAAAACACAATAGAACTACGCGCAACTGGGTCGGAAATTGCAGCTACAAAACCGGATCTCGACGCCAAAGCGAAAAAAAAGACGATTTTGAAGCACTTTTTAAAAGGATTTTTTAAAAGAAAATCACTATCTTTGTTAAACCTTACTCAACGGATCTCCCTCTACCATCACCTTCCTTTTTTCAACCCAACACAAATAGCGCCCAAAATGGAGAAAATTGCTGACAAATCAATGTGGCAGCCTCATGCAGCCACTCCAATACGATTTACGAAGTCCAGCTGCAAAAGACCATAGTATTACGCATGCAGCCTCAGCATGAAGCAACCTTGACGCAGCTATTACAATGCGATCTGCGGAGACTGAGTTGCAAAACACAATAGAACTACGCGCAACGGCGTCGGAAATTGTAGCTCCAAAACCGGATCTCGACGCCAGAGCGAAAAAAAGACGATTTTGAAGCACTTTTTAACAGGATTTTTAGAAGGAAAATCGCTAGCGCCAAAATGGAGAAAATCTGCTGACAAATCACTGTCGCAGCCTTCATGCAGCCACTCCAATACGATTTACGAGATCGAGCTGCAAAAGACAATAGTATTACAAATGCAGCCACAGCACGAAGCAACCTTGACGCAGCCATTACAATGCGATCTGCAGAGACTGAGTTGCCAAAACAATAGAACTACGCACAACGGCGTCGGAAATTGTAGCTCCAAAACCGGATCTCGACGCCAGAGCGAAAAAAAGACGATTTTGTAGCACTCTTTAAAAGGATTTTTAGAAGGAAATCACTAGCGCCAAAATGGAGAAAATCTGCTAACAAATCACTGTCGCAGCCTTCATGCAGCCACTCCAATACGATTTACGACAGTACCAAGCGGGGCAAAAGACAATATAGTTAAGTTTGCAGCCCAAAGCAGGGAACAACCTTGCAATCCCATTTGCATTGCGGGAAGTGATACTACAGTTGCACAAATCAAATGGAATCCATTGGCAAACTATTACCCCAGCACACTTGCAAGCCCCTTCCAAGCGGGAACGATCCTTACAGTTGCAATCACAATGGAATTCTGTCGACCGCACATGCACGAAACACAGGTGAAACCCCATTTACAATGCGGAACCGATCCGAGCATGATCCGCCATGATCCGAACATGATCCGACCACACACGAGACCGTCTCGCACCCGTCGCACCGCAGAGGTAGATCATCGAGGTTCGGGGACGGACTTTGTATGGAAAAACATAGGCTTGCGTGCATCTGCTATCTCTCAAAAACGCATTTCGTGCGAGACTTCCTTCAAAACTCCATCGGCAACTCCTCCACCAGCACCACTTGCAATCCCATTTACAGTGAGGGAACGATCCTAGAGTTGCAAATCACAATGGAATTCCAGCGGCAACTCATCCAGCACCACTTGCAATCCCATTTACATTGCGGGAACAATCCTACAGTTGCAAATCACAATGGAATTCTGTCGACCAGAAATGCACGAAACACAGGTGAAACCCCATTTACAATGCGGAACCGATCCGAGAATGATCCGAGAATGATCCGACCATGATCCGAGCATGATCCGACCACACACGAGACCGTCTCGCACCCGTCGCACCGCAGAGGTAGATCATCGAGGTTCGGGGACGCACTTTGTATGGGAAAAACCAAGTTCTACAGGGAACACCCAAAGGGTTCGTGCATCGCTCTCTCTCAAAAACGCATTTTCGCTGAGAGAACTTCCTTCAAAACTCCATCGGCAACTCATCCACCAGCACCACTTGCAATCCCATTTACATTGCGGGAACGATCCTAGAGTTGCAAATCACAATGGGAATTCCATCGGCAACTCATCCACCAGCACCACTTGCAATCCCATTTACATTGCGGGAACGATCCTACAGTTGCAAATCACAATGGAATTCTGTCGACCACACATGCACGAAAAACAGTTGAAACCCCATTTACAATGCGGAACCGATCCGAGAATGATCCGAGAATGATCCGAGCATGATCCGACCACACACGAGACCGTCTCGCACCCGTCGCACCGCAGAGGTAGATCATCGAGGTTCGGGGACGCACTTTGTTTGGAAAAACATAGGGTTTCTTGCATCTGCTATCTCTCAAAAACGCATTTCGTGCGAGACTTTCTGCAAAACTCCATCGGCAACTCCTCCACCAGCACCACTTGCAATCCCATTTACAGTGAGGGAACGATCCTAGAGTTGCAAATCACAATGGAATTCCATCGGCAACTCATCCACCAGCACCACTTGCAACCCCATTTACAATGCGGGAACGATCCTACAGTTGCAAATCACAATGGAATTCTGTCGACCACACATGCACGAAAAACAGGTTGACACCCCATTTACAATGCGGAACCGATCCGAGCATGATCCGCCCATGATCCGAGCATGATCCGACCACACACGAGACCGTCTCGCACCCGTCGCACCGCAGAGGTAGATCATCGAGGTTCGGGGACGGACTTTGTATGAAAAAACATAGGGTTTCGTGCATCTGCTATCTCTCAAAAACGCATTTCGTGCGAGACTTCCTCCAAAACTCCATCGGCAACTCATCCACCAGCACCACTTGCAATGCCATTTACAGTGAGGGAACGATCCTAGAGTTTTAACTCTTTCTTTGACTAACTCTTTCCCTGACTAACTGTTTCTTTGACTAACTCTTTCCCTGACTAACTGTTTCTTTGCTAACTCTTTCCCTCACTAACTCTTTCTTTGACTAACTCTTTCCCTGACTATCTGTTTCTTTGACTAACTCTTTGTTTGACTAACTCTTTCCCTGACTAACTGTTTCTTTGACTACCTCTTTCTTTGACTAACTCTTTCCCTCACTAACTCTTTCTTTGACTAACTCTTTCCCTGACTAACTGTTTCTTTGACTAACTCTTTGTTTGACTAACTCTTTCTTTGACTAACTCTTCCCCTGACTAACTGTTTCTTTGCTAACTCTTTCCCTCACTAACTCTTTCTTTGACTAACTCTTTCCCTGACTAACTGTTTCTTTGACTACCTCTTTGTTTGACTAACTCTTTCCCTCACTAACTCTTTCTTTGACTAACTCTTTCCCTGACTAACTGTTTCTTTGACTAACTCTTTGTTTGACTAACTCTTTCTTTTGACTAACTCTTTCCCTGACTAACTGTTTCTTTGACTACCTCTTTGTTTGACTAACTCTTTCCCTCACTAACTCTTTCTTTGACTAACTCTTTCCCTGACATTCTAAAAGTCCGTAACACGGAAGTTTCTCCCCCTAAACTTCCTTTGATCATAATATATTTACAACTACATATATCTGTGCACTTGATATGCACGTTGTGTCGTGCAGGCTGCAAGCAAAAAACAGCGCACTGAGGCTCAACAAAGCTGTGTATAGCATTGTAAAGCAAGGGCAGGAGCAGGGGATTGTCTCCTCAGTGTTTCAAATGTGCTTGTGATGCACCCACATGGCCGCAGGAACATACAGGTCGAGCCACAGCACTTGCTGCAACAAAGGCGACGTTCGGTCTTCAAAGACGAAGATATATCAATAACAAGATGGAAAAACTGTGCAAAGCTTTCAACAGTTTCCATAGATTCCATAGTGCAGTCCATAGCGTCAGGATCAAGAGCTCCCTTCCTTGCCGGAGATGCTGGTGAAGCGGGTCAAGCCAACTGCTGTGCTGCCTGTACGTGGCTCTGCGGTTGCTTGTCTGTTCATATGGCATTTTATGGCCGCTTGTGGATACTTATTATGACTTATGGCACACACTGCACCACTCCATCTACACTCAGATCGGGCGCCACGACTGTAGTTTGCAGACATTTTGCATGACACAGTTCTGGGATGTGTCAAACATATGAGCGCTTACAGCGCTTCTGTTCTTGATCCGGGCTTGAGATGGCCAAGGCAGCTGCCGGCTTTGACCTTGCTGCAGCAGAGGCAACAGAGATCCCCGCTGGTGGCAAGGCACCGGTTGACTTCATTGTTGGATATTTGTGGATACTTGTCGGATCTAGTTGGGCTACGTCTAGATTGGAACTCCATTGTTGGAGTTCCAATGTTAGAGTTCCATATAGAGCTCCAAATGCCAGGGCGTTGTGAAGACTGGGCTTTGCATCTCCATCCCAGAGGCTGGGGGGACCACTTCATAGCTCATACGCAAGACATGCGGACTTTGCAATACTTTTTCAAGTTTGTGAGATGTGATGGTGTGCCATGGTGTGAAATGATGTGATTTGATTTGATGTGATATGATGCGATATGGTGTCATTTGATGCGATATGATGTGATTTGATGATTATTTGATGTGGTTTGTTTGGATATGGTGTCATTTGATGTTATATTATGTGATTTGATGCCGTACGATGTGATGTGATGTCATTTGATTTGATAGGATATGATTGATATGATGTGATAAGACGCGGTATGATGTAACTTGATGTAATGTGATATGATGCGATAAGATGTGAGCTGCTGTAATTTTAACTGATTGCATATCATGCGGTTAGATGCGATATGATGTGATATGACGTGATTTGCTTTGAGGTGATTTGCTTTGAGGTGATATGATGTGATTGGATGCGATGTGATTTCATGTGATTTCACTTGATATGACGTGATATGATGAAACCCGTTGGCAGGGCACCTATGCAAGAGTGGCGCCCCGTTCTGGGTTGGCAGTAAAGAAGATGCATCTCAGACGCAGTTGATAGTAAGAAACGATAGTGATCGATAGTGTATGGCTTTGAGTGATACCCCGAATACATTTCCAGCCTGAGAAGCCAAGGCTCCACGCAGGAGCAGGGGTTGTGGACTACGACTACCGTGGGGAGGCTAGCAGTTTATGAATCAACAATGAAGAACAGACAGCATGCAGCATCGTTCACTGCCCAAAGTCTACCTGCAAGTATTGCTGCAGGTTGGGGTAGTCCTTTTCAACCATGGAGCTGAGGACATCGTGAGAGATTGTTGCACTCAATGTTTGCTGTGGAAAGGTTTCGGTCCGCGCTTTGTGGCTAATTACACAATTTTCCCTTTTTTTTGGATTCCGCCGTTTTTTTCCAGAAACTTATCCTGCGGCAGGAAGCCAGCCAGCAAGCAAGCAACCAAGGGAGGACAGCCAGCAAGCAAGCACGCAAGCAAGCACGCAAGCACGCAGGCAAGCAAGCAAGCAAGGGAGGGAGGGAAGGAGCCAGCAGAATCCAACCCGAAATAAACACCTTAAACCTACGCTAAATAAACCCTAACCATCCCTAACCCATCTGAAATATTGAAACCAAGTCTCAATAGATTTAAAACCAGCCCCAAACAACCCCGTAAACCCATCTTAAATAGACCCTAAACAAACTTTAATCCAACCCTAAACATCTTAAGCAAACCTTGAGCGGACGGTAAGAAACAATAAACCAAACAGAAATACACCTTACCAAACCTAAATAAACATCCAAAAACTAAATTTAAATAAGCCACAAACAAACAAACAAACAAACCCTAATTTTTTTCAATTATAAACCAGGTAGAATTAAATCAAGTTTGAATAAACCCTAGGCCAGCCCGTAAGAAACATTTTGAACCAATCCTAAACAAACACCTTGAAGCAACCACGAACAAATCAAAAAAACATATCAACCTGATGGAAGCCATGAACCCGAATGCATTTTTTAAAAGCTCACGTAGAAGAAGTGTTCCTGCAGAACAAAGAAAAGCGAACAGGAGATGCTGGATCGCATTAAGGGCCACTCTTGCAGAACACTCTTGCTTGACACTCTTCTGGGATACTCTTGCTTGACACTCTTGTGGCACACTTGTGGGGCACTCTTGTGGGACACTCTTGTGGGGCACTCTTGAGACACTCTTGCCTGACCCGTTTGCTCGACACTCTACCATACTCTTGTAAACACTCTTTCAGGACAATCTTTTGGTACACTCTTGCTTGACACATCTGGAACACCCCGCAGTATTACTTTGTACTACAAAGCTTTCACAAAGTATTTCCCAATACTACTTTATAGAACAAAACTTCCACAAATTACTTCCCAACACTACTTTATACTACAAAGCTTGCACCCGGCAATTCCCAGTGCTACTTTGTACTGCGAAGCTTGCACACGGCACTTCCCTGTACTAAATCAGACTCCACACTCCACACTTCGCTCTCCAGACTCCACACTTCCCACTCAACACTTCACACTCCACAGTCCACACTTCACACTGACACTTCACACTCAACACTACGCACTCCACTCTCCACACTCCACACTCCACACCTCACTCTCCACACTTCACACTCCACACTCCCCACACTCCACACTCGGAACCGCCCACATCACAATGCACACTTCTCGCATCCCACTCCCCACTCCCCACTCTCCAGTCTCCACTTCACACTTCACAGTTCACACTTCACACTCCACACACTTCGCACTCTCCACTCCACACTTCCCACATCACACTCCACACTCCACACTCCACACTTCACACTCTCCACTCTCCACTCCCCACTTCGCACTTCACACTTCACATTCCACTCTCCGCACTTGAGTCTCCACACTTCACACTCCACGCTCCACACTTCACACATTACACTCCCTACTTCACACTGCACAGTTCACACTCCACACACTTCACACTTCCCACATCACACTCCACACTCCACACTTCAAACTTCACACTCTCCACTCTCCACTCCCCACTTCACACTTCCCACTTCACACTCCACACTTCACCCTGCACACTGCACTCTTCACACTTCACACTTCAGATTTCACACTCCACACTCCACACTGCACACTTCGCACTTCACACTTCACACTCCACACTTCACACTTCACAGTTTACACTTTACACTCTCCACTCTACACTCCACACTTCACACTTTCCACATCACACTCCACACTTCACACTCTCTACTCCACACTTCACACTTCACACCCTCCACTCCCACTTGCGCTCCCCACTCCGCACTTCACACTTCACACTCCACGCTCCATTCTTGTGACTTCACACTTACCACTCCGCGCGTCACACTCTCCACTCTCCACTCCCCACTTCGCACTTCACACTTCACATTCCACTCTCCGCACTTGCGTCTCCACACTTCACACTCCACGCTCCACACTTCACACATTACACTCCCTACTTCACACTGCACAGTTCACAGTCCACACACTTCACACTTCCCACATCACACTCCACACTCCACACTTCAAACTTCACACTCTCCACTCTCCACTCTCCACTCCCCACTTCACACTTCCCACTTCACACTCCACACTTCACCCTGCACACTGCACTCTTCACACTTCACACTTCAGATTTCACACTCCACACTGCACACTTCACACTTCACACTTCACACTCCACACTTCACACTTCATAGTTTACACTTTACACTCTCCACTCTACACTCCACACTTCACACTTCAGATTTCACACTCCACACTTCACACTTTCCACATCACACTCCACACTTCACACTCTCTACTCCACACTTCACACTTCACACCCTCCACTCCCACTTGCGCTCTCCACTCCGCACTTCACACTTCACACTCCACGCTCCATTCTTGTGACTTCACACTTACCACTCCGCGCGTCACACTCTCCACACCACACTCCACACTTCACACTTCACACTCCACACACCACACTCCACGCTTCACACTCTCCACTTCACACTCCACACTTCACACTTCACACTCCACACACCACACTCCACGCTTCACACTCTCCACTTCACACTCCACACTCCACACTTCACACTTCACACACCACACTCCACGCTTCACACTCTCCACTTCACACTCCACACTTCACACTTCACACTCCACACACCACACTCCACGCTTCCACACTTCCACACTTCACACTTCACACTCCACACACCACACTCCACGCTTCACACTCTCCACTTCACACTCCACACCACACTTCACACTTCACACTCCACACACCACACTCCACGCTTCACACTCTCCACTTCACACTCCACACTTCACACTTCACACTCCACACACCACACTCCACGCTTCACACTCTCCACTTCACACTCCACACTTCACACTTCACACTCCACACACCACACTCCACGCTTCACACTCTCCACTTCACACTCCACACTTCACACTTCACACTCCACACACCACACTCCACGCTTCACGCTCTCCACTTCACACTCCACACTTCACACTTCACACTCCACACACCACACTCCACGCTTCACACTCTCCACTTCACACTCCACACTTCACACTTCACACTCCACACACCACACTCCACGCTTCACACTCTCCACTTCACACTCCACACTTCACACTTCACACTTCACACTCCACACACCACACTCCACGCTTCACACTCTCCACTTCACACTCCACACTTCACACTTCACACTCCACACACCACACTCCACGCTTCACACTCTCCACTTCACACTCCACACTTCACACTTCACACTCCACACACCACACTCCACGCTTCACACTCTCCACTTCACACTCCACATTCACACTTCACACTCCACACACCACACTTCCCCACGCTTCAACACACTCTCCACTTCACACTCCACACTTCACACTTCACACCTCACACACCACACTCCACGCTTCACACTGGCCACACTACACGCCACCTCTCCACTCACACTCCACACTTCACACTTCACACTCACACTCCACACACCACACTCCACGCTTCACACTCTCCACTTCACACTCCACACTTCACACTTCACACTCCACACACCACACTCCACGCTTCACACTCTCCACTTCACACTCCACACTCCACACTTCACACTTCACACACCACACTCCACGCTTCACACTCTCCACTTCACACTCCACACTTCACACTTCACACTCCACACACCACACTCCACGCTTCACACTCTCCACTTCACCCTCCACACTTCACACTTCACACTCCACACACCACACTCCACGCTTCGCGCTCTCCACTTCACACTCCACACTTCACACTTCACACTCCACACACCACACTCCACGCTTCACACTCTCCACTTCACACTCCACACTTCACACTTCACACTCCACACACCACACTCCACGCTTCACACTCTCCACTTCACACTCCACACTTCACACTTCACACTCCATGGTCATAATTTTGGGATAATTCCCGTAGGCACAGCGTCGCGACGACATTTGCGCATAATGTTGGCGACGAGCCTCGATGCCACAAAGTCCCACGCTGGTCACGCGAAATGCACTTGCGCAACTTCAAAAACACCACCTCTTGAAACATTTCCCATACACTGCGATCGCCGAAATTTTGATGAAATGTTGACAACAGGCCTGAATGCCACAAAGTCCGACGCCTGCCACGCGAATTGCACTTTCACAACTTCAGAAGCACCACCTTTTGTAACATTTTCCATAGACGCTGCGCCGACGCGATTGGAGGCGAAAAAAACGAAACGAGCCGCAAACAGTCCTCCACCCCAGACCCCCTACCAAGAAAACAAGACCCTTCGCTACGCATTCGGGAAAATCTTAAACCAACCTTCAACAAACATTTTAAACCAAACCTGATTTTTTCAAAAATATAACAGCAAGAGACCCCAAACAGAGTGGAGGAGTGGAAGGATATATAATTAGAAATTATAATGTATGATAATGTGGGTGGTGATGATGATGATGATGATGACGATGACGATGATGGTGGGGATGATGATGATGATGATGATGATGATGGTGATGATGATGGTGGTTATGGTGATGATGATGATGATGACGATGATGAAACTAACGATGAAGATGGGATGACGATGGTGATGGTGATGATGATGATGATGATGAAAATAACAATGATGAAAATGACAATGATGAAAATAACAATGAAGATGGTGATGGCTATGATGACCGTGATGATGATGATGACGATGATGGTGATGATAAAAATAGCGATGAAGATGGTGATGAAGATGGTGATGGTGATGATGATGGTGAAAATAACAAAAAGATGGTGATGGTTATGATGATGATGACGATGATGATGATGATGATGATGTTGATGATGATGATGATGACGATGATGATCATGATGATCTTGATGATGATGACGAACATGGTGACGATTATGGTGAGGATGATGATAATGCGAAAGATGAAGTGGAGGATGAAAAGGTGGAGGATGATGATGTAGAGACGGAGGAAGATGAGGATGTTGAGGAGGATAATTGTGAGGAGGATGATGACAAGGATGATAATGTTGTGGAAGATGAGGTGGAGGATCATGATGTGGCGGAAGATGAGGTGGAGGATGATGATGTTGATGTTGAGGAGGAGGAAGATGATGATTTTAAGGAGGATAATCTTAAGGAGGAAAACCGATCCCAGGACCGGGACCCACACTTGCGCAGCCGAAATGCACGTCAACATACAGGAAAAATACCGCGCCCCAGATTGAGCCCAGAACGCGGACACACACTTTGCGCGAGCCTGCGCAGTCGAAATGCATTCCAACATGTCACAAGGGCCATTTTACACGGAAACGTATAGGAAAAATGCCGGCGTCCAGAACCAGCCCAAAACGCGGACACACACTTTGCGCAAGCCTGCGCAGTCACCATCCACTTCAACATGTCACAAGAGCCACCTTATATGGAAATTTACAGGAAAAATGCCGCGGGCCCAGAATCAGCCCAGAACACAGACACACACTTTTTGCGAGCCTGCGGCCTGCGCAGTCGAAATGCACTTCAACATTTCACAAGAGCCACATCATACAGGAATTTACAAGAAAAATGCCGGCGTCCAGAACCAGCCCGGAACGCGAACACACACTTTGCGCGAGCCTGCGGAGTCGAAATGCACTTCAACATGTCACAAGAGCCACCTTATACGGAAATTTACAGGAAAAATGCCGCGGGCCCAGAACGCAGCGAGCCTGCTCTGTCGAAATGCACTTCAACATTTCACAAGAGGCACTTTATACGGAAACTTACAGGAAAAATGCCGGCGCCCAGAGTGAGCACCCTGATCAAGCACCGGCCTTTGCACTTACCGTAAGAACCTCTCAGTGTGGACACACTGGTGTGGGAAACACAAGCTTACAACAAGACATAGACCTAGGGCAACCAACAAACCCGAATGCAATCACGTAAAACGCTTTGTGGTGTGGAACAGGGTGGAATGAAGAGTGTGGAGTGGAAAGTGGAAAGTGTAGAGTATGGAGTGCAAAGTGTAAAGTGTGGGGTGTAAAGTTAAGTGTAGAGTGTGGGGTGTAAAGTGTATAGTGTGGAGTGTAAAGTGTAGAGTGTGGAGTGTCAAGTGTGAAGTGGCAAGTGCCAAGTGTAAAGTGTATAGCGCGCAGTGTAAAATGCAAAGTGTAGAGTGTGAAGTGTAAAGCTTAAAGTGTAGAGTGCGGAGTGTAAAGCTTAAAGTGGAGAGTTGGGAGTGCAAAGCGTTTAGAATGTGGGGTGCAAAGCGGAAAGTATGAAGTGTGAAGTGCACAGAGCGAAGTGTAAAGTGTAAAGTTAAAGTGTGGAGTGTAAAGTGCAAAGTGTAGAGCGAGATGTGTGGAGTGGAAAGTGTGACATGTCAGGTGTAAAGTGTTGAGCGCCAACTGTAAAGTGTGAAGTGTAAAGTGCGAAGTGCACAGTGTATAGTGTAAAGTGTAAAGAGCGAAGTGTAAAGTGTCAAGTGTGGAGTGTGGAGTGTAAAGTGTAAAGTGCAAAGTGTAGAGTGTGAAGTGTGAAGTCTAAAGTTGAAAGGTTAAAGTGTAGAGTGTAAAGTGTAGAGTGCGGAGAGCCAAGTGTAAAGTGCGAAGTGTGAAGTGTAAAGTGTAAAGTGCGGATTGTAAATTGTAGAGTGTGGAGTTTCGACTGTACAGTGTAGATTGTAAAGTGTGCAGTATGAAGTGTAGAGTGGTGAGTGTAAACTGTAGTAGAGCGTGGAGTGCAAATGTAATAAAAGTGCAAAGTATAAAGTGTAGAGAAGTGTGAAGTTCATGCGTGGAGTGTAAAGTGTAGAGTGCCAAGTTTAAAGTGTAAAGTGTAAAGTCTTACAGTGTAGGGTGTGGAGTATGAAGTGTCAAGTGCGAAGTGTAAAGTGTGAAGTGTAAAGTGTAGAGTTTTCAGTGTAAAATGCAGAGTTTCGAGTGTGGGCTGTCAAGTTCAAAGTATGAAGTGTCAAGTGTTAAGTGTGGAGTTTAAAGTGTAAAGTGTAGGGTGTAAAGTGTGAAGTGTCAAATGTGAAGTGCAAATTGTTGAGTGTAAGGTGTGAAGTGTAGGGTGTGGAGTGTAAAGTGTAGAGTGCGCAGTGTAAAGTGTAGAGCCGGGAGTGTAAAGTGTGAACTGGAAAGCGGAGAGTGTGGAGTGCAAAATGTAGAGTGTAGAGAGCGGGGTGTAAAGTGCGAAGTGTAAAGTCTAAATTGTCGAGTGTAGAGTGTGGAGCGTAGACGTTTTCCTGCGAGTTTTCATGAACCGCGAAATCTGCTATCCCAAAATCGATGTTTCATGCATAGCGCCCTCATTGCGGCCGCGCCTTGAGACTTTATGTAAACATGTTGGGATGTCACAAAGTGCCACACCTGCCACACGAAATGGGGTGACACAAAGCATCACACCTTCAAAAGTGACCATTTTTACAGTTTCCCCCATAGTTAGGGCGATGCGCCATCACCTGGTCCTGCCGCAAACGGTTGCGAACGCCAAAGCTGCGTCCCGCGAACTCAGTTCCACCCCCAGTGCCCCAGGCTCTCAAAGTAAAACGAGAACCCTTCGCTACGCATTCGGGAAACAAATTCAACATCAACCTTAAAACAATCTTAAGCCAACCTTAAACCAACGTTGAAGAAACTTTATACCAAACCCAAATAAATAGAAAAAAAATGAAACCGGCCCTGTAGAATAACCTTAAAGATGCCCAAAATAAATGTCAAACCTTCCGCAAATATCAAACTGAACCACTCATCAATAAGCACTTCAACTGTAAATTGGGCCCGCGGCCAGCCCTCAGGGGGCTGCCCTGGGCCGACTTTATACCTTGAACCACCCATAAACAGACATCCTGAACGAGCCGAAATCTAACCCAAACCAACCTTGAATTACAGTAATTATGACCGCAAACCCTTCAAAACAATAATGAAACTTGAAAGAAGCACTTGAAATTTTCAAACCGGCTCTAAATAAATTTTAAAGCATCCCCAAACAACCCCACAAACCAACCTTGAATAGACCCTGAACAAACCCTGAACAACCCTGAACGTACCCGAAAGAAACAGCACAAACCAAACTTAAATAAACCCTAGCACAACCTAGCACATCTAAACATTCCTTAAACCAACCCGAAATCAGCCTGAACCAACTTAAAGAAACCCTAAACCCTGAATCAACATCTTAACCAAGCTTAGATTTTTTAAAAAGTCAACCAGCTATAAACATAAATACAACCCCGAAATACCTTAAATAAATTTCAAGCCAACCCTGAAGAAACACGCAAGCAAGTTTAAATAAATTTATCAAGCGAAACCTAAATAAACTATAAATTTACATCATAAACACCAAGCAAACCTTCAAAAAACGGAAACCAACCCTAAACAGACTTTCAACCAGCCGCAAACCAAACCCAAATAACCCCCAAGCCAACCCGAAAGAAACACCAGAAACCACACCTACTGAACGAACACGAAATAAAACCAAACGCGCCGAAAATGAACCATAATCAAACCCTGAATGAACCTTTAATCTGGCGCATGCATCTTTGGTGATTTTCCACACTGTGTTGAGACAAGAGCATGTTCCTGCGCGAAAAGTTTTGTGCAGTTTCCTGCGGGGCGGTGGCGTTTTTTTGCAGTAGGGCAGAGGGCCGCAAAAAAAAACCACCGGAAATCTGGAAAAAACCGAGGGAACCTGTAACCGCGCTTTGTCCGTGCGGTTTCTGCTTGGCAAGTGTTTGATAGGATTTTACTGTGGGAGTCGGTGATCGTGTGGCACAGCTGATTCTTGAGCATCTGGGGTTGCAAGAATACCGACGCTGCTTTGATGTGCTCATTGGAACAGACACCAATATGATGCAAGTATAAATATACATATTATATTTGTATATATATATATGTATAAATATATATATATATATGTATATATATATGTATTTATGTATATATATGTATATATATATATATGTATATATATGTATTTATGTGTATATATGTATGTATGTATGTATGTATGTATATATATATATACTTATATGTATATATGTATGTATATATATATATATGTGTATATATGTATGTATATATTTATATATGTATATAAATGTCCTTATATTTATATATATATAGTTAAAGACATACACTTAGAACACTATTAGGAAAACAAGCCTAAAATTCAGCAGGGGAAAACGTTCTAAGTATGCATTTAGAGCACCCACCAAAAACATACACTTAGAACAGGTGTTCTAAGAGGTACTTAGAACACTTTGGGGCAATTTGCGTGTTCTAAGTGTAGGTCTGCAATTTAAATTATGTAAGGATTGGTACAGCCTTCAGCAGGGGTCAATGGATACATAGACGATTTTTATGTGATAAACCCAAAAATAAACAATCCCATTAAACAAGCATTTGGGCCACATTTGGAGGTCATTTTACATCATCTCGAATAGAGGTATACCCAATATTATCCAATTAGAAACATCTTTTGGGGGATGGTATACACACATTCCCCCCAGCTGTATATATATATGTATATGTATATCTATATGTATAGGTATATGTATATGTATATGTAAATGTATTTACATATATATATATATATATTCATGTATTTGTATCTATATATATATATATGTATATACAGATGTATATACAGATGTATTTTTTTAAATATAATATATGTATGTATGTATGTATATCGGGGTACCTTTGCAGATCCAAGTGTGGTTACATAAGGGTTGATGCAGCCTTCAGCTGGGGCCAGTGGATACAGAAGTTGGGGTACCTTTGCAGATCCACATAAAGCAACTAGCAAAGGAAGATGGGATTGGAATGAAGATTCAGCTGGGGCCCCAAACCAAAGGGCGTTCAAACTCTCCGTTGGTGGCCAACAACAACTAAATTCATCTCAAAAGTATCTATATATATTTTTTTTTCTGTTTAGGTGGAAGTTGCTGTAACACATTTCTGGGTGATGTTGTTGGCCTCCCTAGGTGGAGAACCACGCACTTGGAACACTTGCAAAAAGGGAAAAACGCAATACTTAAGTAGGTAACAGTGTTTGATACACATTCTCTCCGTCCTTCGAGTGGCCAACAGCACATAAACCCATGTCACAAGTAATTATCTATTTTAAAGTACACATAATACATCTTAAAGCACATGTTTGGGTGATGTTGGTGGCCTCCCTAGGTGGCAAACCACACACTTAGAAAAACACCCAAAAAGAAAAAGAGAAAATCAATACTCAAGTTGGTCAGAATGGTTGATACGTTTTTTTGTGCTCATAGTTATAGGTAAAACCAAACCTTTCAGGCAGCGGGTCGTGATCTTGGCGGGTGTTTAGTGCCTAATTAAACTAGTGCCTAATTAAACGTCATGTCTTCTGAATAACATGTAAAAGATAATTGAAACATGCTGTTATATAGTAATATGGCGTATTGGGGTAGAATTGTTTGCAATATTGTCGCTATATACATATTATTTCATACTATATATTTTATATTATATATTTTATTATATTATATTATATGATATGATATTATACTACATTATATCATATGATATGATATTACATTATATTATATTATAGTTGAAATATATCGACCCCTGAGCCCCACTATGTATAGCATAGGTAGTAGGTCTAGTATTGGCATGCCGTAGCTATGATTCCGTAACATCCCAAGTAGTTACTCCGAATACCTTGTGTACAGTAGTAGCACCTCATACCTAGAAGCGTTAGGTATGTAGATAGCCTAGAGTTTATCTCAGGGTCGTAGTTAACCTTCCCAACAACTACCGGGTAGGTCTTTAACTCCCGCTGTTTGATGCTCATGGCTCAAGTGCACAAAAGTGTGCTTGCTCTTGTATTTCATGCAGGGTTTACCGGATCGGGTCTTCTCCTTTTTGTGGGTGCCTGGTTCGTCCCCCTGTTTGACTGGTTATCAGCCGTAAGGCTTTTGTTGGGGAACCTGATCCGGTAAAACTTGCCTTAGGCCCTAACTTCTTTTCGCACTTCACTGTTCTTTGTTGCATGCCCCCAGGCAGTTCGGAACAGGTCGCTGCTGATTCCAGCGCGACGGTAACTCCAGCCGAGGGAGTCGAGGCAGCTGAGGAAGCAGAAAGCGTTGAGGTGTCCCCTCCGTGGCCTGCTGAACCAGTAGCCGAGACATCTCAAAGCTGGGCCGATCTGTCTGAGGTACAAGCGCCCGCGCCTTCTGGTGTCGACTCCATTGTGACAGACTCTGCAGATCCACAAGGATCACTGGTAGAGGTTAAGGAGGAGATCCACGAGGCCGAGAGCATCAGTGCGGTAATTTCAGCAATTGGCTTGCCAGAGGAGGTCGCTGACGATCCCGTCGCGACGGAAGAAACTGGGGTTGACACTTCACTTTAAGATCAGTCATTTTTGGAACCACCTTCTGATTTGGGTAACCCAGCGGAAGCTGCTTTCACGGACATTGATCGAGCAAAAGAAGAAGAAGTAGATCCTCAACAAGATTCTTCAACTCTTCTGGAACAGGCCGAGTGCGAGATTGACACAACAGATTTTGCAGATCCAGCTGAAGAAGAACAACAACAGGTTGAATCTGCCGATCTTTTGGGTTTAGGTGACGAGGCGGGTCCAGTAGGAGAAGCATCCGTTGCATCCGAACCATCTGCATCCGTGCCTGAGCCTGCGGTCGCTGACACATCCGGTGTCGCGACAGAAGCCAACACTAGTTGCCCCGATCAAATAGTCCCACCACCAACTAGCCCTAATCTTGTTGACCCAGGTGCCGATCCTATCCAAGTAGGACATTCCCCCGCTAGTTCATCAACAGCCCACCGACCAAGGGTTCGATCCAGCAGGGGCGGTGCCACAACCAGGTGGCAAGAAGCAAAGCGAGCTTGGTGGAACGACTTCGAGGCATACCAAAATTGGCTTTACCATAACTCCGGAGGGGATATCGTAGGTGGCTTTTGGTTAAGAAAGATTTCTTACGAACACGCCGACGAAAGCACTCGCTGGTTGATAGCTCTTCATTCAAGACTTGTTGAGGAGTTCCCAACATCACAGTGTTTAGCTTTGGCCTACCAGATCCTCATCCCTTACAAAGAGTGGGCTCACATCTACGGTTTGGACAGGCGCAGAGGTATTTCACACGGTGAACAAGTGATAAACTCTGGTGAACTACCCCCAAAAAGGATCATCAATCAACGTATCTTAGGGGCAGAGCACCCGCGCCAAGAAGAGTGGGATATATATTATAGATATATAGGCCCTCAACAGCAACCACGCCCAAAAGCGGTAAGGCCTGCTGCCGCAACACCCGTTGCTGGCGCGGCAAGTGGACGCACAGATCCGACTCCGGTCCAGCAAGGACCCAAAGAGCCTGGGCATCCACCGCCGAACTGGCAACCTTCTTTAAGAAGGCCACCTGAGCCAGCAGTGCCACCGCGTCCAAAGGTTACTGTCTCTGTCCATCCGGTCCCACAAGTCCCGAAGTCAGATTCTCAAGGGGTCGCTGCCTTTGGGCGCGACGTAGCACCAGTCCCAGTTGCTAGCCCTGCTAAGCCACCAGCTAAAGCTAGGCCCAAAGCTCCTGATTCTAGTGCCACAACCCTTGCAGATAGAATTCAAGGTTTGCCACCTCCACCTAATAATATTCCCCCTAGTCCGCCCGTTCATAAACAACCACCTTTACCACCACCATCTCATCCGCCGCCAACTGCACAGGAGCTCGCTGCTCGCGATCCCCAGCCAGCAGAGGCGCGAGAAGAGGCTGCTCCGGAGGATCCCAACGATCCACCGCCTGAAGAGGAGCACTGGGTGGAGGAGGAAGAGGAAGAGGAAGTTTTGGAGGAGGACGAAGTGGTTGAAGTTGAGGTTGAGGCCGAAGCTGAACCCGAATTCCCTGACTTTGTAGCAACAGAGCACGGCCGTGAGGTTTCCACGCGCCGTCGTAGGCCTAAAAGAACTAGGTCCAATCCGCCATTGCCTGTCAATCTAGTCCCAAGGGAAACCCGTGAACGCATTGAACTTAATCAAGAACTTTATAGAGCCCGAACCATAACCGGTGTTTCTAGGAGACCTCTTGCTTTAAGACCCCAAGTGCACGGTTACCCCGAAATTGGAATTGACTCCGCTGGCACCTGGGCTAGGGTCGCTGATCCTTCGATCGCGTACGCGCCGCAGACTTTGCCGTTTATTGTGCCTCACGCCGCGGCACCAGAGCTTGGGGTCAACCCACACGAGCTTCCCGACTCGTTGTGGCGTGATCCTGCACTTAGATCCCATCGGACTGTTCTTGGTTCAAGTAATTCAGACCCCAACAGTGTTTATAATCTTGACTCCAATAACCCCGGTACCGAATCTGAGGGCTCTGAAACTGCTGAGACTCGAACCGCAAGGTTTGTTTCATCAGGTCAGGCATTTGTCGGCCGGCAAGAACCATTCGACGCTGGCTTCGCTGAGCGCACCCCTGCCCGTCCAATTGAGTCTCCACCAAAGAGACAGCGTCCTAACATAAGAACCTCCCGAATCCAACGTGATAAGCCGGCACAGCCCAGAAAAGATCCAGTTTCTGCTGCACCAACACCACCTGCAGCCCCTACAGTACCATCTTTGACTGTTCCCCCATTAAGCAGGTCTAGTAGTTCAGCTTATCCTCCCTGGAGGCAGTCTTTGCAAAGTGCTGGAACTGGGGTCGCTGACACAGCCCGTGTCGCGACAGAGACTGCATCAGAGCCAGCCGGCTCTCCCGTTGCGCGATCCAGATCAAGAGCACCCTCAGCCGAGACTGCGCCTGCA